CATGGCCTTGGGCTTTAGAGGAGAAATATTTGGGGTGGCTGGAAATCTGACAGAGTGTGCTTTTTTAAAATTAAAACAAATGAAGTAGACAGTAGAGTCCCATCCTGTGGTGAGCCTCCACTTTGAGGATATCATAACATAGCAACTTCATACCACTACTTTTTTTTAAATGTACCTCTAGTTTTTTTTTTAAAGAAAAAATGAAGAGGATTTAAATTTGTTGTATCTCTTTAAAACATGAAAGAGTGCTGTAGTGTTGTATTTTTTGTGTGAAAATGGGATGTTTGCAGTTCATTAAATTCTTTCATATTTCCCTGAACTTTTATTGTAGCTTCATGGAGGGAAGAGGGTCATGGAGTGCCTAAAGAAAGCTCTAAAAATAGCAAATCAGTGTATGGACCCCTCTCTACAAGTGCAGCTGTTTATAGAAATTCTAAACAGATATATCTATTTTTATGAAAAGGAAAATGATGCGGTAAGTGACCTAATTAAAGTGTTGGTAGTACTGAGGGTCAGGCAGGAGGATTGCAAATTTGAGGCCAACCTGGGCAACCTCATGAGACTGTGTATCAAAATTAATTTTTAAATTTTTTGCCGAGAGGAACTTTCTTTTTTTTTTGGTCAAAATAAAAAATTTTTCAAAGGCTAGGAATGTAGCTCAGTGGTAGAGTGCTGCTGGATTCAATCCCCAGTCTTGGGATGAAAACAATCTCGTCCTGAGATTTGATACATGTAAACGTTTATCATTGTGATATTTTGTTTTGTCTACATGAGTTCCAGATTACTTACTGTTCCTTTTATTCTCCAAAATCCTTTTCTGCCTACATAGATGTATCTCTAGTCACTGTACATTTGAAAAACATGCTGATTTACAAAGTGTTGATAGTTGGCTGATTTGCCGTCCTGTACTAGTTTAAAATAATTCCTAAACACATTGTCCTTCTAGGAGTATAGTGCTGACTGAGATTAGCAGACTAATTAAATTTTTTTTTCTTATTCTTTTACTGGTTCATGTTACTTTTTTTTTTTGCAGTGCTGGGGATTGAACCCAGCACCTCATGTGTAGTAGGCAAGTGCTCTCCTACTGAGTTACATCCATAGCTCTCATAATACTTTATTTCAGCTTTCTAAAAGAAATGAGTAGTTGCCGGGGATTTAGTTCAGTGGTTCCACCGCCTGCCTGGAAAGCACAAGGTCCCGAGTTCGATCTCCGGTACCAAAAAAAAAAAAGAACAGTCAATAGTTGTGGCTCAAATTAAGAATCATGTTTTCCTCTCGCTTTTTTTCATAATTACTCTGGTAACTGATGAGAGTAACACAAATTCTTGAAAACAGTATTATTGTCTTGTTTTGGATGATTCATATGTTTAATCATGAAATTGTACATATTCTTTTGTAGGTAACAATTCAGGTGTTGAACCAGCTTATCCAAAAGATTCGAGAAGACCTCCCAAACCTTGAGTCCAGTGAAGAAACAGAACAGATTAACAAACATTTTCATAACACACTAGAGCATTTGCGTTTGAGGCGAGAATCACCAGAGTCTGAGGGGCCAATTTATGAAGGTCTTATCCTTTAAAAAAGAAAACAGCTCACTGCTTTCCGTGTTCATTCAGTAAGGGTTTTATTAAACTAGGTCTCCCTTCCATAAATTATGCCTTTCAGAAATGCTGAGGTAGGTTTCCTGTTTCTAATCTGTGATGTGTTTTATCTAGCACCTCCAAACACTCACCTTCAGGACCTTAATAAAGTTATTCACTTCATAAGTGTTCAAATCTGTCTGATCACCCCAAGTAGCATGACTGATCTGCTATTTAAAATTCCTGTGATCTGTAAAAAAAAAAACAAAAAAATCTCCACTTATCTTGGCTACTAATGAAGTCCTCCTCCTTTTTCTTTTGTTTCATTATTGATTGTGTATTTTCTTCATTATGTGGAAAGACTAACCCAAAAGTATCTGTCTCTTTGTTCTCTAGTTCTATTTGAGATTAATTTAGAGGCAAGAAATACTGTATGTGAAATTCAGCCTGGGCTTTTCCCTAAATACAAGATAAGGCCATGTGTAATATTTTCCCTAAAACTAGAATATATTAATGCATGTTTGAGAATTTCAAAGCACCATGGTCAAAACCAGAAGCTATATTTTGCATATTTGGACTCCGCCATCTATTAAGGATCTATGTTGTCCTCTGGACATATTTATCAAACAATTTGGTTCTAAATAGTATAAAACAAAATTTGTGATTTATATCTATAAGCTTCATTATTGTAAATTTAATGGGAAATGCATTACAGTTACCACCTTTTTTTTTTGGCACCTGTGAATCAATAAAGTTGCTATTAACAACTTTTTTTTATATTACTTGATAAAAGGAACTAGTGGAATGTTTTCTACATTCTCATGTTTACAGAGCTCACTTATTTAACTGTGGTTTTGAGCACTTAACAAGGCACCATCTACTACTTTCAGTCATTTATGCCGAGTAGCTTTCCTTACCCTCGCCCAGCTTTTCCTGAGGCATCACAAACTCCCTAAAAGCTCTTTTCTTTGTATAGTTATCTATGTAACTAATTATCCCCATACCTAGTGTCTTAAAACATTTATCTTTTTTTTTTAGGATAGTAATAAACTTTTTATTTAAACATTAAACACAAACACATTTCTCTCAAAAATACATACCTGCAAATATACCAAAACAGAGGGGGAAAACTCGCCCTAAATCTGAAACATATTTCAAACTCCTAAAACAGAAATCTAAAATATAGTAGAACTGAGAATGGGAAAAAAGATTTATCTTATGATTCTTTGGTGGTTCTGGGTTAGGGTGTTTCATAAGGTCACTGTCAAGATTGGGGCAGCTGTTGTCTGAAGTTTTGAGTAGAACTGAGTTCATGCTTGCTTGCAGTTGTTAGCCAGAGGCTTCAGTTCTTCCTGTGAGTTGGTCCTTCAGGCGGCATGAGTGTTGTATTATGGCTGCTAGTTTCCCCAGAGTGCGTGATCCCAGAGAGTGTAGGGAGGAAATCACAATGTCTCCTTATGGCCTAACCTTGGAAATGCCACTGTCACTTTTGCCTCTTTCTTGTTTTTCAAACTTTTGCCTCTTTTTATTAGAAGAGGGTCACTAAGTCTAGCCCATATTCAGTTGTTGGGGGAATTTTTTATTTTCTTACTTTTTTTTTCCTAGTGCTGGTGATTGAACTCTGGGCCTCATGCATGCTAGGCTAAAAGTTCTAGTGCTACGTTACATCCCCAGCCCTAAGTCCACCTCTTGAAGGGAGCAAGAGCAGTGATTTTATAGACATTTTCAAATTACCCCATCACTTAATACTTTGCCATATGCACTCGTATTGCAAGTTGTCTAGAACTTGTTGGGTTGTATATGAACAAATATTTCCAAAGTTATAAAACTAATACCATTAAAATCTACCAAACAGCCAGGCGTGGTAGTACATACCTATAATCCCAGAACTGTAGGAGGGTTAGCAGGAGGATCAAAAGTTCAGATACAATGTGGGCAATTTAGCAACTTGAAATCTGTCAAAATTTAAAAAAGCGAACATGGTGGTCCACACCTGTAATCCCAGCATATGGGAGGCTGAGGCAGGAGGATTACTTTGAGTTTGAGGCCAGGCTGGGCCACATAGTGACTTCAAGGACAGCCTGAACTACATAGTGAGACCTTGTCTTAAGAAACCAAAAATAAAGGGGTGGGGATGTAGCTCATTGCAAAGGCCTTAGGTTCAATTTCCAGTACTTCCACCCTCCCCACAAAATCTGCCAAATACACTATGCTTTCCTGTGGTACATTTCCGTCCTGCAGACACTTCGTTTTTTTGCAGGTATTTACCCTGTAAGATCAGATTATGGATTAGAGATTGACGTACAAATTTATATTATGGTTTAGATGTCACACCAGAATCTCATGCACTCATAGGTGGAACTTTTGGAAGGTGCTTGAGTGATGGTGATACAGCTGACTTACCGTTAAGAGGTAGGGCTTGGCTGGGAGAGGCAGGTTGCTGGGGGCGTGACTTGGAAGGGTGTATGTCCCTCTCCAGCTTCTCTCTTGTCTTTCTTCATCCTGGCCACCCTGAGGTGAGCAGCTCTCCTCCACTGTGCCCCTTGCCCTTGCTGTCCTGCCTTAAGCCAGCAGACTATGACTGAAAATGTGAGCCAATATCAACCTCTCCTCTTGTAAGTTGTGGGTGTTGCAGATTGTGTCCCAGTGATGATATGGTGCCTAAGACATGTTCTGTGAAGTATTGCTGGAAAAGTAAAACAGACGTGACATATTTGCAGAAGATAGGTAAAAGGAAAAATAGTTGAACAAAAATTGAGTACTTACTTTATGCCACATACAGTTAGGCACTTAATTTAAAGGTGAACAAGCTGTGATCCCTAGCTTCATCAGTTTGCCTAGTATGAAGATGGACCTGTAGTTAAGAATATAAGCATTGGGGGTGGGGGATTTAGCTCAGTGGTGCCACCACCTGCCTCGCAAGCGCAAGGTCCAGAGTTTGATCCCCTGTACAAAAAAAAAAAAACCAAAAAAACAAAAGCATTGCCCAGGGTAGCACTGAAGAATTTTTGGGTACTGGTGTTGGAGAAGTCCTGGAGAAGCTGTGTGGATTCTCGAGGAACTTCAAATTTGATTGCCTGTTAAGCTGTGTGACACCAATGGCCAATCTAATGGTCCTGTATTTAACAGCCATCATAGAAGCAAGATAATTATTTGCCTATCTGTAATGAGATAGTTTAAAAAAATTAACTATGGATTTTAAAACTTTCATAGCAAGGACTGGGGATTTAGCTCAGTGGTGCCGCTCCCTGCCTTGCAAGGACAAGGTCCTGAGTTCGATCTTCAGTACCAAAACCAAAAAACTGTCATAGCACTGTGGCTGGTTGTGGTGGTGCATGCCTATAATCTGAGCACTTGGGAGACCGAGGCAGGAGAATTGCCATGAGTTCAAGGCTAGCCTGAACCACATACTTCAAGGCCAGCCTGAATTACATAGCGAGACCCTGTCTCAAAAAACTTTTCATAGCTCTGTGACAATTTGATAATTTTTATCTCAGGTGTATTAGAAAATTGAGTTTTATATGTCTGCTTTTCCCTCTGTTTTCTAGTATTTTTTATTTTGTCTTATAAAAAAGTACTTGTCCTTAGTAAATGAGAGGAAAATTCTTCACAGATGGATAGAAGCACTGAGCCAGAGCAGGCTTGTTGCTGAATGGCATTGAATCCCAAGACTTGAGCTAGTCATCAGAGGACACATCTAGGAAGTTGATATGAGTAGATGAGAGATGCGTGCTGTGTCACCACTTTCTTGCCCTCATTTTCCTATCTTTAATCAGGAAACTATGCTTCTGACTGCTCCCAAGCTCTGAGATTGGTGACTATTGAATTAATAAAGTGTAACACAACCCTTTTCATTAAGGGTTCGGCCTAGGTGATACAGCTGATACAGCTACAAGTGGAGGGAGGTGCTCAACCTGATCAGACATAGCAGAGCACTGTGAAGGAACATGATGAGCAGTTGTAGAGTTCATGTGTAGCTCTCAGAGTTAAATGTCATACCCTGAGGAATAAACTCACTATCATCAGCAATGGAAGGAGGTTTAAACACAAATTCTTAGATTTCAGGGGGGTCTTCCATTACATTACTGTTTTCTGAGAATCTAATAAATTCAAGCAGAGTGGATTTGAAAGGATTTCTCAACAGAATTATCTTTGTGATGGGAGTTCCAGACTATATTGCACAGGAAAGGTGCTGGCTGGGAAAAATCTCTGGAGAAGGTTGGCCCTATGGAGATACTCAGGATGGACAGCAGACACCGCTTCAGTTGCCCCTCTATATATTTGCTGCATACTTGAATTACCTAGAGTAGGACCTACCCTCATTAAATGATTAAAGATAGGTTTCCTGACTTGTGTTAATTTAAAACAAGTCATGAAGTCATCTGGGATAGATCTCATATTGTTGTTTACTTCTTAGGTCTCCTTGCAGTATACTAACAAAATGGGTCCACATTTCCAAAATGTGTGGAGACAGACTGTTTTACCATTCACTGCAGTGTTTAGCTTTAGGCCAAAAATGTTTCCTATAAGTAAAAATTAGATTGTGACTTAAATCTATTTTTACTCGGGCCGGGGATTTATCTCAGTGGTTTCGCTGCCTGCTGCGCAAGCGCAAGGACCAGAGTTCGATCCCCGGTACCAAAAAAAAAAATCTATTTTTACTCAGAAGAGAGCCAAGTGAAAATACAAAAAAAAAACCTTGGAGGCTTCATGGGCATTAGGTATGATCTGTTGGATTAAATGTAAGATGTAAAATCTGGTATGTTTTGTAGAAACAAGTTTTATCACTTCTGTTTTCAACTCATCTTTAATTACACACACGAAAGTGATGGAATACTCTCATACACTACTACAAACAAAAAAGATGAATATATTATTTAAACTGGTAAGACAAGGAATAAAATGGATTGGTAGAATAGTGTATGCAAATTGACAAAACTACCAAAGTTTAGCCACAGTGATTTCTAAGCCTTATATAGGGTGTGACTACAGGAGTTGAGACATTACAAAATCATCTTTTCTCAATCAGTTTTATCTTTCTACCCATCCTCTGGATTAGTGCTTTTCAAGCTTTATTAAATATACAAATCACCCAGGGATCTTGTCAAAATGCAGATTCAGGAACCTAGCAGCTCTAGAGTACAGCTAGAGACTTCTGATATTCCAGGTAATCTGTACACTGTTGATCCAGATACCAGTCTGAATAACAAAGGCACTTACCTAGCAGGTATCAAAGTCCTGGCGTGATCCCCAGCACCAAAAAACCCTGGATGACAATTTCATAGACTACATTTTTTATTATTAGGTTTTTTTGTTCTGTGTTTTTTTTTTCTCTTTTTTTGCAGTACCAGGGATCGAACTCAGGACCTTGTGCTTGCAAGGCAGGTGCAGTGCCACTGAACTAAATCCCTGGCCCTAATGATGAACACTTTTCTGAAACTCAGGTGGCAGAGTGAGTACAGGATAGAACTGATAGCTGAATTCAGCCAGAGGAACCAGTAGAATATCTCAGTATTGGATGCATCTCCCATGGCCTGCAGTTGAAGCAATCCTGCGCAGAGGATAGGGAGCCCAGCCCAGGGCGAACACGCACACAATGGCTATAAACGGAGAGCTACCGGTAGCTGGCCATGGTGCTGGTGAGGTCTGACTACCTCTGGCCATTGCGGATGTTCTTGGTGGATCTCTGGTGGCTCTGCCTACACTGGGCTGCTTTGGCTCTGAAGTCCACCTGCGCAAGTGGTAAATCTTGAGTCCCAGGGACATTGACAGAAAGACCCTTGTTTCTGCGAGAGAGGCCCTGGTCTTCTCTTCCTGCTTCTCTCAGGTTTAACCAAAAAAAAAAAAAAAATTGATGTGCTTTTTTCTGTCCTGGAAGTTCACTTCTAAGCCACCTTGACTGGGGGCAGTGTTCTCACTCCTGAGGAGGATAAGCTTCTGAATGGTAATAGAGATGCTTAAGTTGAATTGACATCAGTGAAAGGGGTAAAGAATTCAGTGATGGAAACTGTCTTTAGGAAGAACCAGTGGTAGAAGAACTTGGCTTCGTACTTCCCCTGATGTAAGATGCTTCTTTGGGCCACATTCTCCAAGATGATGGCAGGACCTTACAGGAGGAATGCTCCCTTATCAGTGCCATCTTGAAGACAACATTCCTGGTCATAATCTTCTGAGCCCCTGTAAGTCACCTATAAATAGAGTCTAGTGATAGGGGAGGCTGCGGCAGCTTTCCCCACTCTGTCTGGTGCAGTAGAATGCCAACAGTGAACTGAGGCTGAAGGTTGGTTGTTAATATGGCTGGTGATTGGGCAAAGGGTGGGCTCTGTTTCCATGCTACCCAACTCTTCCCCACTTGATGTAGCATCCTGGAAATGAGTGAAGAGCTTTCCTCATGGATCAGTGCAGAACGTTCAATACTGACAGGTGATTTCACTGCATGTGTTTATAATATACATAAAGCCTGGGTTTCAGAGCAAAGGAGCCAAATTACTAAAATTATCCAGGGGGCATGTCAGGAGAGTGAACCCAAGAAATAGGTTCTGTGAGCTCCTGAAAAGTTAGGAAATGCCACTTTAGACAATATTTGTACTTAGGAAATGATTTTGGCCAAACAGAGTGGGAATATAAGAAGCAATAAACAGGGATGGGAGACAAGGAAGGACTAGGATGAAAAATGATGAGTCAGTGGTTTTCATTCTCAGCTGTGCCTTACAATCACTGGAAAGTATTAAAAATGGCAATGTCTGGGCCCACCTCCAAGCCAATTCAATCCAAAGTGAGCTGAGTACTGCAGCAATAAATGAAGCAAACTGTGAGAGCCACAGTGTAGACTTGGGGGTGGCCCTGCCTCTGAGAAGGGTGTGTGGATGGGTGTGTTGTGTTGGGGGTGGTTCTCAGACCATTAATTCTTATGGGTACTGAGACGAACAAAGCTTCTTGATTTTTCTTTCTTCAAAGTCCAAAGTTAAGTTCTTTTTTTGTTTTGTTTTGTTTCTGGCTTTTCCTTGTTTCATGTAAAGCTCACCCTCTGCCCTTGCTGCTTTATTTCGTTGAGCCTTATCCCATCTACAAAATGGGGGTAAAGAAGCTTGGTTTGTACTTACCTTGTAGGGAGTGAGGAACACATAGAGGTTACAGCCAAAGGGCTTTTAACTCCTTATTTTTTCTGATGGGAAAAGACTGAGATGTCCAAGGTCACACAATGTGGAAGTGGCTAAAATAAGACTGGAACCCAGATCACAATATTTGTAACCTAGTCCTTGGCATCTTTTCTTTTCCTTTTGGATCTGTGGGGTCCTGAAAATAGAAGTGGCATGGTAGGGGTTTCCCTTGACTATCAGCCCAGCAGCTCCAAACCCAACCAGTCCCCACCTGCCCTCACTAGCACAGGTGTGTCAAGCCTCCGCCCTTCCTCCCGCCTTGATGACAGATAAATCTTGTTTAGCTGATGAGATGTCCTGCACTGAGGCAGAGCACACCAGACAGTCCATCCACAGCCACAATCTACAAAGCCGCTTCCCGAATTTCTATCCCCCACCCCCCGACCTAGTGCACCGTGGGATGCCGAGGGCCTGTGGGCCGGAGGGGACTCTGCCAGGCAAGCCCTGGGGGAGGTCTCTGAATGCCCGGACACCTTCAGGGCTGCTCAGGCGACCCTGCCTTCAGCCCACCCCGGGCCTGCCTCACCCACAGGGAGCGCCCAGGTGAAGAAGTTGCTTCGGTCCACGTCGAAGGCCACCATGACCACCGCGGGACCGGGAGCGGAGGAAAGGACCTCACGTGGCCCAGGGTGAGCCCCATCCGGGCCAGGAGCAGGAGCAGGTAGCCGGGCGTGCGCGCGGCCGCGGGGATGTGGCCTGGAGCCCGAACCGGTGACCCTCACCCCGGGCTAGGGGGCGACGGTAGGCGGCGGGACCCTGCGCGCACTCTTGGAGGCAAGGTTGGGGGACAAGTCTCGGCTCTCCAGCTGTCTGCATAGCGTCCTGGACTCTTTGAAGGAAGACGTTACTGTGTTTTCTCAAATACCACAGTTAATAGTTTTATGTTTTATTTTGATCATTAAAGTAATGCTTGTAGAAAGAAATCAAACAATACAGAAAGGCATAGAATTGAAGTGAAATTTCTTAAAAATACGTCCTCCTAGAAGACCCACTTGGAACATTAAGTTCTTCCATGCTTCAATCCTTTGACTTACTTTCTTGCCAGTGATACAAAATGCCCACACTTTAAAAGAGGAGAAAGTTCTTTTTTTGTTTGTTTTACAGTTCAGAAGTTTAAGTCCATGTTCAGCAGACTTAACTACAGAAACGGCACAGTAGAAGGGTCTGGGCAGAGAAAAGTTGCTTCCCTCCTGGGAGCCAGGAAGCAGAGAGCGGGAAGGAGCTGGGCGGGGAGATCCTAACAGTGGGCCGCAGCGCCTGAGGCTCCATTCCTCTTCCCAAAGCCCTGCCTGAGAGCACAGGAGGCTGTAGGGGGACATTGAGATATAAACAATAATGTCCTGTTCTTTTCCCAACGTTTCCTTCTTCCAAAGAAGTAGACAAAAAGTAAAACAAACAAAAACCCAAAGCTCCACAGATTTTTTAAAAAATAGTTTTGATGTCCTAATGAATAACCTGTTTCTTCTCTCCAAGAAATAATACATCTGACATTTTCCCACATCCGTATGGGATATGGATGATCACACTGTTGTCCTCATCGTTATCTTCCATGCCTTCACTGTTTCCCTGTTGTGTTTATGAGCATATGGACTTATCTGTTGATGGACCACTAGCTGTTGTTTGTAAGTTTTATTTGGTTTTGCTTTTGTATCTTTGCTTATGTATCCCATAATCTCCTCAGGACAAATTAATGGAAGCAGAATTGTTGGGACAAAGAGAATGCAGTTACTGTTATTGATGGCACATATGAATTCACTCATTTAAATAGGCTTTTTTGTTGTGAGGAAAAGAAAAGTTTATTCCAATAAACAAGGACTAAAATCAGGGAGATTCTAGCAGCTAGCTGGGAAAAGTTGAGTTTATTACATCAAATAGCAGCAGCAAGCTGGGAGAGATTTTTTCCTTGAGTGGATGGGCTAACACTAGGAGAGAGATATTAGCAGCTAACTGGGAAAGGAATTAGGCTTATATAGGTATTGAAGGGGCTCAGGAATCTGGGGTAAAATGTTCATGATGGGGTCAATGACAGTCTGCGCAGGTGCATAGACAATCACTGGACTTTTTGGCGCCAGGGAGGATTTTCTTCTGTTTACTGAGAAATAGCCTGTAGTTTGCTGAAAGCGGACGGTTTGCTTGTGAAGATCTCACTTAAGTCAGTCGTGACAGTTACTATGTTACACCATGGTGGCAGATGGCCCTCTAGGAGAGCTGATGCACTCTACAGGCGAACCAGCAAGTACAGTAATTTAACATTTTTTAGACTGCTAATGAGCAGTGATGGGACATCATTTTTGGTTCCTGGAGTTTCCTCCCTCCTACCCTGTTCCTTTTGCTTCTCTAGCATAGAGAATCCTTCCCTCTGGGAATTGGCTCAGACAGAACAGTCAGGGCCCCTTGGATCACATGATTGACTTAGGGGCAGAGGAAAGGAGTTGTGGCCCCTGCGGGGAGACAGACTTGGAGGAAGGGTGGTGCATCTTAACACTCTTGTTTTCTGAGTTGGAGAAAATTCTGCCAATTGTCTACATTCTGTGACTTGGGGTATGTATGAGGGAGTTGGAAGAGAATGTGTTTCAATTACCCATATTTGACAAACTGCTTTATCTGTGCTGTTACTTGCCTCTTGTAGACAATTTGCTTCAGTGAAGGGAAGAGTGACCCAGTCTCATGGAAGCAATCCTTGGACCATGGAACAGGAGTGGGCTCTTGCTGAATATTTAGTGCAGTGACTCTCAAACTTTTTGAAGCACAGCACACAGTAGAAAATACTTTTTACATTAGATAAGACTGATGTTCTTATAAGAAAACTACCCCTTCTATGTTCACACAAAGAAAAAGCCATTGAAGACACAAAAATAAATGCCAGGACGTCTACATGCCAGGAGGCTAAATCAATCCTGACAGTACTTGATCTTAGAATCCTGGCCTCCTGAACTGTGAGAAAATACATTTTTGTTGTTTAAGCCACTCAGTCTCTGATATTTTGTTATGGGCAGCCATACATTATTTCACCACTTTGCATGGGAGGGAGAGATTTTGGTGAAGGTTTACCTTCTTTGGGCCTTATATTCATCACAAATAAAGGAGATAATAATAGTTTTAGGTCCCATTGTTGTGATAAGAATTTAGCAAACATGTAGGAAGCATATAGCATATTTCATGGCACATAGTTAAGTGTTCAATTAATAGGAGCTATAACAATTACTATTATCTAGTAGGAAAGCTGTCCCAAGGATACTTTAAATCTTTGGCCCTTTCCCTTTTCCTACTTAGAACATCTCAGCAGCTTCTCTCTGCTGGGTATTCTCAAGAACACAGATATTTTAAGTTTGCCCAATTGTGGCACAACTGGGAAAATCTGCTTCAGAAAAAAAAATCTTTTGATTGTTTTTTAAAGTGGAACTAAAAATGATCCTTACTGTTGCTGCTGTTGTTTAATGTTTTAATGTCTTCCTTTGTAGTGTGAAAGGAGTTGACTTCATTTCCATCCAGGAGGTATGCAACTCTTGCACAAAGGATCAGAACAGAGGGGATTACTTTTTTTTTCTTTTGGTACCGGGGATAGAACTCAGGTCCTTGCGCTTGCGCAGCAGGCAGTGAAACCACTGAGCTAAATCCCCAGCCCCCCAGAGGGGATTACTTGACCCCTCAGGGGTCATCTTTCCATTTTCTGGTGTCTTCTTCAATCACCTTTTGCAGAGTACTGTAGTTTTCATTGTAGAGGTCTTTCACTTTTTTGGTTAGGTTAATTCCTAAGTATTTCATTTTTCTTGATGCTATCATGAAGAGTATTGTTTTCCTAATTTCCCTATCAGTTTCTTATTGGTATAAAGGTATGCTATTGATTTTTGAGTGTTGGCTTTGTATCCTGCTACACTGTCAAATTTGGATATTAGTTCTAGGAATCTTTTGGTGGAGTTTTTGGTGTCTTCTATGTAGAGGATGATATCATCAGCAAATAACAAATTGGCCGAAGAATATAAATAACATCATGGAAGACCTACATAACACTTGGAAATATACAAAATGAAACCACCATCACTAATAACCAAATTAAAGGCAAATAAAAAAATTAAAACAACAATTAGATAGCTTTCATATCCCAGATGATTGGCACAATTTACAATGACAGGTAATTGCCACAATTGAAAAAGACACAGGGAATAGGCTTCTCTCTCGTGGAGGGCAGTATAAATCAGTATTCATCTTAATGTAAAAAACCTCATACTTTTTGGCTCAGTAATTTCAGTTCTAGAATCTTTCAAAATAATCATAAATGTGTATTAAAAAGTATGAGAGGGCCAGGGAGTTAGCTCAGTGGCTCTGGTGCTTGCCTCTCAAGCGCAAGGTCCCGAGTTCAATCCCCGGTACCAAAAAAAAAAACAAGTATGAGAAAAGAGGTTTGTTGCCATACTTCTTGAATGCCCATCAGTGGGAATACATGAGAAAAATATGATCTATTTGTGGTAGGTGGTAAATGTAGTCATCAACCCTTCTGCCTTCTACTATGGCCCTTATAAGGTGATATTGCAGCAGCCCTGACAAAAGTAGAGTCTGTTTCTCCATTCCTTACTCTCCTTTGGCTGTGGGACTTCCTTGGGCTAATGGGATACTAACTTAAAAAGCCCTTGCTTATTGGAGTCTGTTCTCTTGCTGCTCTTGGAGCCCTGACATTGCTATGCAAGAGCCAAGTATTTAGATAATGATGCCAATAAAACACCATGGCACATTGGCTGATAGCCTGGCGACCTTCAGAAAATGGATGAGGTCATCCTAGACAATCCAGTGACCACCTGACCTGCTAGCTGACCACAGATTTATGACAAAACTCATCAGAAATCAAATTGGTTTGAACAAAAACTATGTAGCTGACCTTTTTAAGCCATTAAGTTTTTGGGTGATTTATTTCACAATAGTGGATAGCTGACACTTCACAGAGTTACTGTGGAGCAATGTGAAAGAATGAGGTGAATGTATGTGTATTATTCTAACACAGAAAGCTTTCTATAGGCATTTTTTTTTTCTTGTACCGGAGATTGAACTCGGATCCTTGCGCTTGCTCAGTAGGCAGTGAAACCACTGAGCTAAATCCCTGGCCATCAGACTAATAATTTTAAAAAAAGATTTTGTAATTCTTGGGCCAAGGATTTAGCTCAGTGGTTCTGCCACCTGCCTAGCAAGCACAATGTCCAGAGTTTGATCCCTGGTACCAAAAAAAAAAACAAAAAAAGATTTTGTAATTCTATAAGCTATCCTATATCCTATTAGCTATTCTATATTCTAAAGATATACAAAAAATATATTCTAATAAATATCTTTTTTCCCCTCTTAAATTAGCCAGAGTTGATTTCTCTTGTTTGTAGCCAGATAGCTCCATACATAGATGTCCCTAGTAAAATAAACTTTGAAAGCTCCAAGTTAAATAGATTTATTTACTCCCTTCCCATAATGAAACATCTTGAAACCTTGCTCAGGAGATGAATGGTCCATATAAGTCACTTTGGAAAACTCTGCCCTGTTTTTACATTGAATAAATGATTATTATTCTAAGGATTCTTCCATTTCTACCTGTTGCTTTGCTGAAAGGTGTCCACATTGTGTGCTGTGCTGTGTCAGCTGTCTCACTCTCTGTGTTTGTTGCCAGGGACCCATTATAATAAAAGTAAATTAAAAATGCTCTCTACTTTAAAACACGTCATCATCTGATCGTCCCAATTAATATCACTTCTTAAATAGGTACATAATAATCACTGTCCCAAGTGCCACACAGCAGGGCAAAGTGATCTATTTTAAAAAAATAGGATTGTTAGTTCACCACTTAATACAGACCTTTGTGTAAGAGTCCTATTTGGGGTCAAGAAGCTTCATGGCCTGAGTGATATTGGTAGAGAAGATGATTGGTGGAAAGATGAGAGAAGGATTTGAAGTAGTAATCTTAGAGACGGAAGTCCTAAATTGAAACCTAAACTGGTGTGTTACTGAGTTTCAGTGTAGTTTTCCCTAAAACAAGGATTGGATAAACCAAGATAAATTAGTGAAGATAAAAGTTTGTGAATGACAAAATGTTCCATCTGTAGGGCCAGGATTTAGCTCAGTGGTTCTGCCGCCTGCCTCGAAAGCACAAGGTCCTGAGTTCGATCCCCGGTACCAAAAAGAAAAAAGTTCCATCTGTAGGTGCTAAAGTCTTTTTACTTCCTTTTTTTCTCCCCACTCATTCAACAAATATTTATTTAACAGTATATTCTGTGATGATAATAATTCTCAGAACTAGTAACACCATGAAAAAATATTAAAATATGAAGGAGGAGAGAGAAAAGTAAAGTGGTTATTTCCACACATTGTGGCAAGTGGTGTGCAAATCCAAGAAAGAACATTTACAATAATAACAGTATCTCCAATTACAAAATAATAACTATTATTCCCCAAATATTGAAAACTATTTTCTTTTTCTATTGGTAGATGTTTGTGAAACATAATGATTACATTCATTGTAAGGAGATGGCACATGCAGGTATTACATCTTAGGTGATACATACCTTTTAATTCTCTTCCCCCTTCTCTCCCCCACCCCATCTCTGCATACTTTTTACATTTGCAAAAGGTCTATTTTTCTGTTTTCTATTATTGATCTTTTATTTTTCTCTTTAAATTATTTATGCTTTGGGCTTTTCATATAAGAGAAACTATGCAATATTTAAACTTCTGTGCCTGATTCATTTCACTAAGTATTATGGTCTCAGTGTACATTCATTTTCCTACAAGTGACTCAAATTGATCCTTCATTAGGGCTGAGTAGTACAAAAACATACTTATTTACTTATTACAAATATATATTTATATTTATTAAAAGTATATATATTACATTTTCTTAATCCATTCATCTGTTGATGAGCATATAGGCTGCTTTCAAGATTTAGATATTGTATTTTGAGTTGTGCTGCTTTAAACATAGATATGCATGTATCACTGTAATATGATGTTATTAACTCTTTCAGGAAGATACCTAGAAGTTCTCCTAGCTGAGTCAAATGGAATTTTTATTTTGTTGTTTTTTGAGCAATATCCATACTGATTTCCATAGTGATTGTACTAATTTACACTCCCAACAAAAATGCAGAAGTGTTTTCTTTTTTCTTTTTTTTTTTTTTTGTACCAGGGATCAAACTTGGGACCTTATGCTGTGAGGCAGGTGGTAGAACCACTGAGCTAAATCCCCGGCCCAAGTGTTCTTTTTCTTTAGAATCTCAGCAGCATTTATAGCTTTTTGAGTTCTTTATGATAGCTATTCTTTCTGGGATGAGACAGAATCTCAGTAATGTTTAAATTTGCACACCTTGCTGGGCATGGTGATGCATGCCTATAATCCCAACACTCAGGAGGCTGAGGCAGGAGGATCACTGCCAGTTCCAGGCCAGCCTAGGTTATATAGTGAGTTCAAGGGTGGCTTGAACTACATAGCAAGACCCTGTTTCAAAAAAAGATCCAAAAAATAAAAATAATAAATTTGCACTTCTAATAGCCAACAATGTTGAACATTTTTCACATACTTGATGGCCATTTATTTTTTTTTTCATGAAGTTGTACATTTTAGGTATACATTATGATCACATTCATTATTGGGAATTTGTACCTATACATGATATATCTTGGTTCTTATTGTTTCCCATTCCTCTTCCCTCCCTTCAACCCTTCCACCCCTTCCTATTTACAGAAGCTTTGTTTCTGTTTTTTCCTTCTTTTTTCTTTTCTTTTTTTTTTTTTTGAGGTTGAAGCATTTATTGATGATTTTTGCCTAAAACAGTACTATTACTATTAGCTGCCAAATGATGAATTTAAAAAATTTTGGTAAGGCAAAAATTCTTTTTTTTAGTTCTTTTATTGGTACATTTTAGGTATACAGTTCATTTACATTTATCATTGGGTGTTTGTACCTGTACATGATATATCTTGGTTCTTATTTTTTTTCC